ACATTTTGACAAAAAGAACAGAGTATCTTCAAAAGAAAGCAGACCAAACTATTACGGTAACTTGAGCCACAAATATAAGTGAATCATACACAGAATACTAGTGCGATAATAATAGAGAAGATACTTCGGCTTGTTAACTGAAATTCTAAAGTAATTGAATAGGTATAAGTGGACTTTTGACAAGAAGAAGAGAATTATATATATAGTGTCTATTAAATCTCCATAATATCTATAGTGTTGAAGAATTTATTGTACTTACGTTTAATTTGTTCCGAATATATATACTATTTTGAAAACAAGTGAAGTGCGTGCGGTTTATTTATCGTTGAATGTATCGCTACCAAGTCACAGACACCTACTGTAGAAGAATCCTAAGCTCAACAACATCACCGTATATATTTATACTATTAAGAAATATAACTAAAGCCTTATACTTTCACAATTGGAGAAGATCAGATTTTTAAGTTCTGACAATCTTTCATTTTTAGTTTTGGGTTAATGTAGAAGAAAAGTTTCGTCCCATAAAATTTTATGACCTGATTTAAATTGATGATATGTTGAAGCAGATATCTGGAATTCACCTATACACATGTAACCTTTGTATCTTATTTCTAAGTAACGCGATATTTGTCCTATGTGTTTCTTATATACTTTATATAATTAGAATTGATCATATTAAAACTTATTGTCTCCAAAGAACAACATTCACAATATGTTTACTCTCTTTACTTAAATTTAGCACGGATGTACATCCAACTTCCAGTGCAAGCTTATTATATTTAAACTCGCACACATTACGATAACATGATGCAACATGTTCGAGTAAATATGGCAATAAACAAGGAGCTTCACCAGAAAACATATCAAAAATTTACAGAACATACATAAGACAAGTCGTAGAATACGCTTGTATAACATAGATAAATGTATCATAAACATACATCAACAAACTACAGCATATACAAACTTATATTTTAACGAAACCATATAGAATCCCACGATCAACAAAATCAGTATTTCTACACAATTATTGAAACATGCCAACTCCTGGATAACTCGCTTCAATATTATAAGAAAACTATTAATATAAATGAACCGATGAGCAAACTAGAAAGTTACATGATACATGATGAACCAAGCCCTAAGTACCTTTCCCCTCTAAACATCCTAAAAAAGAATCTTAAAGACCAAACAGTGCTAGGCTAACTGAATCCTAGACATAAGCGTAGCTCTATTTTAAAACGGTTTTGTAAGTAAAAAATAGGATTATGTGTGTGTGTATGATTGCTAAGCGGAACTGTAGTGTGAACAGGACTAATAGTGCGATCATACATAAGTGAAGCTAGTGAAAATATATGAGTTAATATTTCCCCATGAATTGGACATGGCACAAAAAGGGTATGTTAATTAAAACTGCGGACAATGGACAAAATGTAACATACTGTGAGTAATGCAACAACAACGTAAAAAGGGTTATTATCTAGGAGTCGGTAAGAGTGCAAACAAAATAACAATTCCTGAGACTGAGGAAGAGGTATACGCTGAACCTGACTTTCCCTGGTCCAAAACACGGACCGAATCCCGATGAAGATCAAGTATGTATTTCTTTCCACATTCACAAGGGATACTCTATATGCCTAGTTTTTGTTCCTTTTGTAGAGATTATTTCCAGTTAGGTAGTAATGTGTCGACTTGATGTATTGCTTAGTACTGATGATACCTGAAGAAGACAGACCAATGTTCTGTCGAAACGTGTAGTATGTTCCACCATCATTGAAATTATTCCTTGCCTCTAAATCGTCGTTTTCTCACCTATTATTATATTAGCATAATGTGCTTCTTTACTCAAACATCTACAGTATTACTTAACATTTAATAATATACAGTATTACTTAACATTCCAATAACCTGCAGTATTACTTAATATTCCAATAACCTGCAGTATTACTTAAAATTCCCATAATCTACAGTATTACTTAACATTCCAATAACCTGCAGTATTACTTAATATTCAAATAACCTGCAGTATTACTTAAAATTCCCATAATCTACAGTATTACTTAACATTTAATAATATACAGTATTACTTAACATTCCAATAACCTGCAGTATTACTTAATATTCCAATAACCTGCAGTATTACTTAACATTCCCATAACCTACAGCATTACTTAACATTCCAATAACTTGCAGTATTACTTATGATTCCAGTATTCTACAGTATCAATTGACATTATAACAATGTACAGTATTATTTGACATTACAATATTCCAGAGTGTTAATTAACATTACAATAATGTACATTATTACTTAACATTCCAATAGTCTACAGTATTACTTGCGATTCCAAGATTCTACAGTATTATCTGATATTCCAATTTTCTACAGTATTGTTTAACATTCCAATAATCTACAGTATCTCTCGCGATTCCAATAATCTATAATATTAATTGACATTCTAATATTTTACAGTATTAATTGACATTACAATATTCTACAGTATTGCTTAACATACCAATATTCTACATTAGTACTTGATATTCCAATATTCTACGATATTACTTGACATTGCAATATTCAATAGTATTTCTTGACATTTCAACAATCTACAGAAATGGTCCCCCAACATTTTTGTCACTGACGACACTCTAATCATTTATCTGAATTTGCGCGATACCCCTGCTGCCACAGGCAATATTGTTTTGTAGAGTTTTTTTTTATGTTCTTAATCATTCCTTGTTTGGTGAAACTCTTTCGACCCCCTAGCACTGATCTACAGTATTGCTTAACATTCCAATATTCTACAGTGTTATTTGACATTCCAATATTCTACAGTATTACTTGACTTTCCAATAGCATTGTTTCAGCAAAGACACTGTTGTTAGGTTTGTCACCTCTGTTTCCGCAGTTTCATTATGTGCTATGTTTAATTTATCTGAATGCAAGCTGCATTTTGGCAGTCGACATCTATCATTATCGCAAGTGATGGATTCTTGAGTTTTTCGAATAAAATTTCCTTCTTCGATTTAAAAGTATCTTCAGGCAAATTGACTTCTTCATTTAATATAGAAATAGCATCTCTTCATTAATTTTAATTTATTCACATCCTTGTTAGACACTGATACAACACATGACTTTGAGAGTTTTCATTAGACAGCAGATAGCGTGAGAAGAGGATTTTTGAAAGATTTAAGCTGCTGAGCACGTTGTAGCCCGCACGTGTTTCTGCCAGACACGTTGTAAACAACGTGTAATAAGAATTGTGTAATACGCATGAGTAAACGAAGCCACATTACTGTAAACTTTTAAGACAGTATTAAATTTACATAATTTTCCATCATAAATATACATTACAAAAAATATTTTGACAGTTTTAACATAAAATAGACAGATTCAAAACGCAATCTTTTATTATGAAAAAAAAAACAGTTCTTAGTTACAAAACATGCTAGTTTCCAAATTAACTAATTATTTGGGATATTAGTTGCGACAAATGTTTCAAACATATGAATGTTTACATGTGAACTTAATAGCATTTAAAAAATATATAAAATATGACACATGCTTCATTTTTTGATATTTAAAATAAAGTATAAGTAACATTTTTCTGAAGACAACAACATTTTATACATGCTACAATTTTTATGATAAATATTAGAAATTCAGGCAAAATATCCTTTTTTCTTTCGAAATTCGTTTCATTTTAAGCAGATAAAATATCATTAATTTTTTCTAACTAGGTAAAATGATCATGGATTTTAAATGTTTATCTGCACCTGACTGTAAAATATACAGCTTTAGAATTGAGAAAATATTTCTATTTGTACGAACAATGGTCCCTTAAGAAAGTTAGTTATTTGAATAACTATCAAAACGTTTTTAAACAAACTACTGGTCAAGACAGCAACGGCCTGGCATGGCCAGGTAGTTAGGGAGCTCGACTCGTAATCTGAGGGTCGCGGTTTCGAATCCCCGTCCCACCAAACATGTTCCCTTTTCAGCCGTGGGGGCGTTATAACGTGACGGTCAATCCCACTATTCGTTGGTAAAAGAGTAGCCCAAGAGTTGGCGGTGGGTGGTGATAACTAGCTGTCTTCCCTCTAGTCTTTCACTGCTAACTTAGGGACGGCTAGCGCAAATAGCCCTTGTGTAGCTTTGCGCAAAATTAAAAAAACAAACAAACAAATCAAGACAGCACAGGCAGCTTTACGTTCATAAAATGGTCCCCTAGTGGCTCAGCGGTAAAATCGGGTTTTGATACACGTGGTGGGTAGAGCACAAATAGCTCATTGTGTAGCTTTGTGCTTAAGAAAAAAATAACAAACAAGCAAGTTTATAAAACGTGTCCGTTTCATGTTTTTTTACACGCTTTTCATTTTGTGAAGAATTACTTGAAGTTGATATATATTATGAAATTTTGTTTTGAGTATTCCAGAAAGAAAACAAATTTAAACGTACCAGCATTTTGTTTTTCATATGAAATTTGATATATGCAGAATTTTTCTAAAATACGATATATGCATCACATTTAATATAAAATACAATATGTGCATCACATTTAATATAAAATACGATATATGCATCACATTTAATATAAAATACGATATATGCATCACATTTAATATAAAAGACAATATGAGCATTTTTTCTAAAACATCAAATATGATATGTGCACCATCTTTATTATAAGATTGAAGTTGCATTTTCCTGAAGTGTAAGATAATATTTAATTAGCATTTTATTTACATAAAAATAATATAAGAAACACTTATCTAAAATACAAAAGACAGATTTTTCCCCGTAGTTTGCTCACATTTGCAGCACTCAAATTTCGAACACTTGGCAAGACACGTGGAAACAGGTAACCTATGTGTAATATTTGTGGTATATAATCTTATTATGAGTCACATGACAAAACCACTCACTGCTTGCTCCGTGCCTGTATTCACTGATATATGATTATCACGTTTATAAGGCTTGTTTTGCCTTGTCACTCAACACACGCTGCATAGCTTCGATACGAGCAGGTATACTAACATTATGCTCTGGTTTTAGTGTCAATCGAAAATTTCAAGGACGTAAACAGTAGTCTCGGTTTGCTCAACTTCCACAACCGTCATAACTCACTGGTGATGGAGCTGTGGTCAAGTAAGTTATTATCATACCTTTTCGGTGTAAGTTATTTCGGCCATGTTTCAGGAGTTCAGCTTAATAAGGACGTAAATAATAGTCTAGGTTTGTTCAACTTCCACAACCGTCATAACTCACTGGTGATGAAGCTGTGGTCAAGTAAGTTATTATCATACCTTTTCGGTGTAAGTTATTTCGGGCATGTTTCAGGAGTTCAGCTTAATAACGAACTGTATACGTGTTATAATTGAAACTATGTCGATTGTCCCATCTAATGGAAAATCTCGCACGTTAACGGCGGAAATAACAATTTCTGTCAAAATTCGATATCTTTCTGAAATGGGAACTTCACTTTTCCTTAGAACAGGAAAGTAAACAGGTTTCTGGTTTTCAAAGAAAATTATGTCTCTCATTATGTTAAGCAGGAAGGCTGTTTTACAACTCCTTAAACAGTGAAAAAGGAAAGTAAACAGGTCTCTGGTTTTCAAAGAAAATTATGTCTCTCATTATGTTAAGCAGGAAGGCTGTTTTACAACCCCTTAAATCAAACTGGTGAAGTTACGTTGAAATGTCTCCAACATCCTGTACATTATTGTACAACTAATGACAATAGCACGCTTGTAACGAAACACAATGAAAGAGGAGGGGTACATAGAATCTAATTTAGCTCCAAATCTTGTAGAGTTAGTGCCTAGAGATCGTTATTTTAACTTTGGGGTTGTTCATTCTATTTCTTGGTTATGTATTAATTAACCAGTAGTTTGATAATTCGGGTATCACAAGCTTAACGGCTCTTTAAAAGGAAAGCTTTTTAGTCATTTAATTTCATATTAAACGCGTAATCCCTTGCAATGTTTTCAATGTAAAGAGTCTAACACAGTTGATTAATACTTGGTGTCTCGTAGTGTATTCTTGATTTCTCTGCATACATTTCTTGCAAGCTTATACAGCACATTTGATTATAAATATAATTTATATCGATATGTGCTTATGACGACTTTTGAATACTTTGGTTTATGTTCCATGTTCTTATCTGTGTGAGAAATGTGAGGTTATGCTTGCATTTTGGGAAATAAAGAATGAAATGAAAGGCAAATTAAGTGCCTCGTCTATATCATTTCTGACGAGTTGAGTAACAAACACACACACATATATATATGTATAAAAGAGAGCATCTGATTCCAAATGTTGTTGATGGGGGGTGACAGTGCGAACACTACTTTGATTTTCTAACTTTATGTCCACACATTTCGAATTAGGTAAAACATACTATTACTCTTTCGATGACGAGGAACCCACTTTGAGATTAATAATGGCTGGAGACAAAACCTTGTCGAAACGTTGTACATTGGCTGTTATGTTAAACTTATATTAAAGTTGTTTTTTCATTACCCATTTAAGCCGTCTCCAGCCATTATTAATACTATTACTTTGTAAAGTAGTTTATTCCATACAAACCCCAATTTATTCAAAATCAATAAATTAAAACGTTTTTGCGAATCTTCATAAATTCAGAAATCACTAAAGCTGTAACTTCTACATGTGCTTGTTTGTTTTTAAGTAAGCATAAAGCTACAAAATGGGCTATCCGTGCTCTGCCCACCACGGGTATCGAAACCCGGTTATTAGCGTTGTAAGTCCGCAGACATACGGCTGTGCCACTGGGGGGGGGGGGCATGTGCAAGTAATCAGAGAGAATGCGCGTTTTTTTTTAAGCCTTGATTATTATATTTTCCAATGTTTAAAGCTTGTATAAGGTATTTGGGATGATATTCTGCCTGAAAGCTTGGAGGTAGCTGAGCAGGAAATTTTGAATACTACTGTAATGTTTTCATTTTTGAAGGATTTTGAATGTTGTTTAGGTTTCGGTTTCAGAAGACGTACACTAATAAGTATTCCTATTGTTTAACGTTTGGTTTTTTTCCAGGTGTGAAAGATAAAATTATAAAAAGTCTCATCAGAAAACCCTACTTTTCCTAAGAAAGATATTTGTACGTGAGAGGTTCTACGTTTTGCATATGTTAATACAATGTACATTTGTCCTAAGAATGGTTTTGTGCGTCATTATAATATACATCAAGATGGAACAATTTCTACTAAAGTAAAAGTGAAATGGTTTGTCTTGAAGACGTTTTATCTAATCTAACTTGATCCAACCCAGTAAACTAAACTATATGTTATGAAACATACGAAAATACTCGTGTCTCTAGACTTTAATTCAATAAATACTTAAATAATTGTTGGGTAACTCCTTTTCTGAAATGGGGTTCAATTTTGGCTTGACATAGTGAACGACAAAGTAAAGTGTAAGTCAGAGATGTTTTGAACTATTTGTCATTGTTGGTCAGTTTCTCATTCCCATGTGTATATTGTGTAAGATGAAAAACGCATTTGAACTTTACCTAACTTAACGAAATATATGCTTCATCTACTTTATCGTAATTCAACCAGATGGAAATAACTTTTACCTCAGAAACCTATGAAAAACTGTGAAGTGTTTTATCGATTTATCAAAGATTTTAGATGAAATATCTGATGACAGCGAAATAAAATATCTGGCGTTTTCATAAGAAGAGTATGTTTGTTAAGTTTTTAGAATTTTTGAACAAAACTACACAACCATCCATAATTTTGAACTTAGAGACTAGTCTCCAGAGGAAAAGAAGCTACTAAACAGCACCCACCGCCAACTCTTAGGCTACTCTAGGCTGATTTGATATTTTACCTTGACCTTTATTTGGTACTCACGGTCCGATAGTGCGGAGCTAGTAATTGGGCCACGTCTGACCTCGTAAGAATAAAAATTTTAGCTAAATTTAGCTTTAACTAATATGATCTGATAAAAAGTTAGATTCCAATAACATACAACAATTTTTAAGAGTTTAAGTGTTTAAGTAGTTTTAGTTGAAAGTTACTGTCAACATTACACGAGAAACAGCTATTTATATTCTTTTTGTTTATTTTAATCTAATTCAGTTCGAAACTAATGTTTTGAATTGTTAATGTCCTGGTTTGTTTCTGCTATGATATTCGTCCAGAACTACTCAAGAGTTATCTGCACTAGTCGTCCCTAATATTTAACTGATAGATAAGGGGGAAGGAATTTATTGAATAGTAGCCTCCGCCAACTTTTGGGCAGTACTTGTTTGACTGAATAGTAGGATTTAAGCATCGTCAGTGTAACGCACACACGACCACAAAGTGCGAAGCGCATTTTTTTTTCCAGTAACGAGATGCAGATACCGGATCAGTAGATCTATAGTCCGGCACACTGACCATTCAGTCCTATGTAATTCATTGTGTGTGTGTCAAAAAAACAACAACAAACAAACAGGGGCTTTGCTGCTATTTTCTTATCAATTATAGGCTCAATTTTCTGCGATAGACCTAAATTTTGAGCAATAACTCCACTTATCAATAACCCTGGGCTAAAGCGGAGAACGCCAGTCAAGAAGTATTTAGAAGAATGTGTTTTGATGTTTCTTTGTCTACATTAGATACATACCCTTCTGTACTGTAGAGTTGCAGAGAAGTAGTAGCATGGGTGTTACCAGAGGAAAAAAATTAACTGATGCTGTAGATCATCTTGTAGTGATAAGAGAATCTATTTATTTAAATTGTAGTTTTTTCAAAAATATGAATTACATTAAATTTTATTCGAACATTGAGGATTATATATTATAGTTGAGATAAATTTGAGAAACAGCAAAAATGTGTTTAATTTATTCACCTTTTAAATGCATTAATTGATTTTGAGCCACAAATAAACAAGTTTCTGTCAAATTTTAGTTCTGAAGACATTTTTACTGCTGGTCTTGGCAGCAACTGGAAGCGACTCTCTGCCAGATGGAGGTGGGTTTTGTTTAATAATTTAGTATTATTATTATTAGTGGTTCTCTGCTAGCTGTAGGTGGGTTTTGTTTAATAATTTAGTATTATTATTAGTGACTCTCTGCTAGATGTAGGTGGGTTTTGTTTAATAATTTAGTATTATTATTATTAGTGGTTCTCTGCTAGCTGTAGGTGGGTTTTGTTTAACAATTTAGTATTATTATTAGTGACTCTCTGCCAGATTTAGGTGGCTTTTGTTTAATAATTTAGTATTATTATTATTAGTGGTTCTCTGCTAGCTGTAGGTGGGTTTTGTTTAATAATTTAGTATTATTATTAGTGACTCTCTGCTAGATGTAGGTGGGTTTTGTTTAATAATTTAATGTTATTATTAATGACTCTCTGCTAGATGTAGGTAGGTTTTGTTTAACAATTTAGTATTATTATTAGTGACTCTCTGCCAGATTTAGGTGGCTTTTGTTGAACAATTTAGTGTTATTATTATTAGTGATTCTCTGCTAGATGTAGGTGGGTTTTGTTTAATAATTTAGTATTATTATTAGTGGCTCTCTGTTAGATGTAGGTGGATTTTGTTTAATAATTTAATATTATTATTAGTGACTCTCTGTTAGATGTAGGTGGATTTTGTTTAATAATTTAATATTATTATTAGTGACTCTCTGTTAGATGTAGGTGGATTTTGTTTAATAATTTAGTATTGTTATTAGTGACTTTCTGTTAGATGTAGGTGGGTTTTGTTTAATAATTTAGTATTATTATTAGTGACTCTCTGCTAGCTGTAGGTGGGTTTTGTTTAATAATTTAATATTATTATTAGTGACTCTCTGTTAGATGTAGGTGGTTTTGTTTAATAATTTAGTATTATTATTAGTGACTCTGTTAGATGTAGGTGGATTTTGTTTAATAATTTAGTATTATTATTAGTGACTCTCTCTGTTAGATGTAGGTGGGTTTTGTTGAACAATTTAGTGTTATTATTAGTGATTCTCTGCTAGATGTAGGTAGGTTTTGTTTAATAATTTAGTATTATTATTAGTGAATCTCTGTTAGATGTAGGTGGGTTTTGTTTAATAATTTAGTGTTATTATTAGTGATTCTTCTGCCAGATGTAGGTGGGTTTTGTTGAACAATTTAGTGTTATTATTAGTGATTCTTCTGCCAGATGGAAGTGAATTTTTCTTAACAGTGCTTAACTGTTTTTCCGCCTATGTGAGTAAATATAGCCCTGTGATTAGTAAATGCAATTTGTTCAAGAGCCTAAAACTGAAAAGAATACGAAAAAACTTTTTCTGTAAATTTTTAAGGCACAGCTTCAAAAAAAATATTTACATTCTTAGGTCCAACGTACAGAGATAATTCCAACCAGTATATAAAAGTATATTAAGTTGTATGCTTTGTTGCCTTCGCTTCTTACTCTCTGTATTCTCTGTAATATGTCAGGCTACATGTGATAACAAAGAATTTACGAATAGTCGTCGAGAGAATTATATCGAAAGCTATTAAACATTTGAAAGAAATTTTCTTTAGAAATCATAATACTCAGTTATTTTTGAAGCAAAACAACTTGTTTGATCTCTGTAAACATTTCTAAGAGAAAAAATGATTCTTCATTTATAAGATTGTGTAAAGTTTATCTTTGATATTTTTGTGCATTATCTAAAAATGTACTAATTCCATATTTTTATTTAGATCTTACATCTATTGATAGTGACATGATAAATATACCATAAATATGCCTTTTTACCACACATACCATACAGTACATCCGCATTGTGAAAGCGGAATTATTAAAGGTGAAAACAATTACTAAATTATACAAACTCTGTCTTTCGAATGTTTTTATCACATTAACACTTCCAAAGGTTCTAATTAAGTACTTTTATAATGTGTTCACAACTGGCTTAACCTGCCCACCAGTGGTTTTAATAAACATACCAAAAGGCTTTCCACATTATACGACTTTCCTATCGGTAGTTCTTCTGGTAGCTATTTAATTAATTCAAATGCAAATGTGTTCTCTTCTGTCTTGGTTTATCTATACGAAATATTGCAAAGAAACTTAGTAGTATATTAAAAAGCCCCCAGCCAAGTGGCTCAGCGGTAAGTTCGTAGGCTTATAATGGCAAAACCCGGGTTTCGATATTCGTGATGGGCACAGCACAGATAGCCCATTGTGTAACTTTGTGATTAACAACAAAGAAACAAAGTTTATTAAAAATATGTCGTTTTGTTTACTTTTTAAACTTATGTCTTTAGTGATTCAAATTTTCTATTTAATAAAATTATTGCAATGATCTGAATAAGAATGTTTGTGAGTCAAGTTCGTACATTAACAAACTTTCTCTCTACTGTGGTACCATTCACGTGGGATTATATATGTTTAACACGTGACCTTCACGTGGGATTATATATGTTTAACTAGTGACCTTCACGTGGGATTATATATGTTTAACTAGTGACCTTCACGTGGGATTATATATGTTTAACTAGTGCCCTTCACGTGGGATTATATATGTTTAACTAGTGACCTTCACGTGGGATTATATATGTTTAACTAGTGACCCTTCACGTGGGATTATATATGTTTAACTAGTGACCTTCACGTGGGATTATATATGTTTAACTAGTGACCTTCACGTGGGATTATATATGTTTAACTAGTGACCTTCACGTGGGATTATATATGTTTAACTGGTGACCTTTTGATAACGCATGTAGTATTTGAACTAGTATAAAATCAATAAGTTTAGATTCTCTGTTATAAAAATTCCTCTGATATCTAACTACTATAGGTAATTTTGGGTTCAAAGCCAAAAGCGAAGCGAAGCACTCAAGTTGATCACACTTTGGGATAAAATCCAGAAGTGAAGTGTCTTTTGTCGTGAGTGGCACTTAGTGAACTACCCCGCTAGTGAAATATTTCTTAAAAATTGTTATAAGCTAATTCGGTTTTTAGTTTGAATTGTTTTAGCATCGTAAGCTTTCAAACTTACTGCTGAGCGACTGGGGAGTTTGTGAAGACTTACGGATTTAAGATATACATACGATTATTATATATATATATAGTTGTTTTTCAATGTGATTTATTATACAGATTATGTACATTTAGACTTATGTAGCTCACTGAATGGAAAAACGTATTTTATTGACGTCGGAGAGACAGGAATCATTAAAGGAGGAAATGCAAGCAGCCTGGCCTCTAGTGAAAACTTGGAACAGTCTGCCCCCCAGCGGTGCAGTGTGGAACTAGTCACTTGCCCATCATGTCACATTGTTGTCTCGAATCTCAGCGTGAACATTCCAAAGTGCAGTTCTGTTGAGTCATGCAGGTAAAGCATGTTAAGTTAACTGTTTATTTTATATAAAAATATATGTATTAATGCCACCAGTTAAATATTCACGTTAACTGTTTCAAGTCGTGTTTGATTTTGATATAAACTTTATTACATTTGAAAGTAAAAAATGTCGAAGTACGTGTTACTTTCTGCTCTCAAACACATAAAGACAAGCGAAGTTGCATTTACCACTAAGAAATTATGAAAACAAACTGATAAAATATTCTAAAAATAACAACTTAAAGTTCTTTGTCTCATCTTAATGTTTTTCACACGTTAGAACACTGTTAAACGAGGGCATATCATTTTATGCTTAGATTGAAAAACCCACGCCCAGCATGACCAGGTGGTTAGAGCGCTCGACTCGCAATCCGAGGGTCGCGAGTTCGACTCCCCGTCACGTCAAACATGCTCGCCCTTTCAGGGGCATTGTAATGTGACGGTTAATCCCACTGTTCGTTGATAAAAGAGTAGCCCAAGAGTTGGTGGTGATGACTAGCTGCCTTCCCTCTAGTCTCACACTGCTAAATTAGGGACGGCTAGCGCAGATAGTCCTCGTGTAGCTTTGCGCGAAATTCAAAACAAACAAACCAATCAATTCACCAATTAAGAAGAATGTCATGAAAAGCAAATAGATTTAAAATGAAACCTTGTTTATTATAAATGTCATTATATGTTAAAACAAAGAATGGAAATAAAGCCTTTTTAAACACTGAAAAAAAAAACGCACTTCTCGTGGTTGAGGGCCGTTTTACTTATAAGAGTACATAAAACAGACCCGCCAAAAATATAGTAAAATAATAAGTGCAATGTAAAATAAATGCTGCGTTAAGCAGTTGAATTTAAATCACTTTCATAATCACTAAAGTAGTCCCTGCAGAGCTCGGGAAGGGCATACGTCATGCGAAAGTTGCGCATCATCTAAGATAATGACGTTAAAGAATGTAGACATTAGTATGGGGTAAGACAGGACATAAATCAATTGCACTTTATAACGTATCAGTGAACTTGAACCGTGTTTCTTTTACGGCTGTCTATAATTCCTCCTTGTTTCAAATTAACAGAGTAAAATATCCATTGCATAGACACATTGGCGGATGGGTGCAAATTTGAATGAGCAAAGCACAAATTCATTATTATTTTTTACATTTTGAACAACTTTCATCTGAGGTAATGTAAGCACCTTAAAGTTTTCATGAGGTGACGCATTAACAATAGTTACATATAATTCACTATATATGACTGCATTTCATAACCGATGATATAACTGGGTGGCCATTTTACTGAAGAGGACCTTCCCTTACATCTAAACGATGTTGTACATTTTTTAATAAAATATCTGAGTTAGAACACTTGGAGGCGACAAAAATATAAGCCCTTTAAATAAAAAAAGCCTTCCTTACGTCATTAATTTGGATGTAGCCTATATCAGGCTTGTTAGGGGTTGTTGACATGGAAAACCTGCCCAGTGGCTTGTTCTTAGACAACGTTGTGGTACAATTGCCTTGACTTCATCAGACTTGATGAAGGTACAGTAAGAGCATCAGAATGTGATGTAGAACAGGTTGTCCATATAATAAACTCCTAACAGTTTTTCTACCTGCTAAATATGTCTTTCAAACAACGTTTTTGTAGATATATATATATATTAAAAAATGACAAACACTGATGATATAAAATATGATTTTTACTATACGGCGATTAAAAACGATTCTAACTACAAATATGTGTGGTTACAAGCTCGAAACTTTATATACTTAGATACTGAAAAATTCCACATTGGTTAAACACAGACAATCTTCTATTCACATCCAGAGGTGCAATAATGTGAAAAAAAACCTATTACGTTTTTTTACGATAATTTCAAAATAGTATAATCTACACATACGAGACAACACTTATTACAAAAATATCCAAAATTACCATTTGAGAAAAAGTGTTTGCAAGACTTTTGTGTGTGTGTATGGAGGTACACAGAGTCTAGATATTTAGCTTTTAGTGACTAATGTCTTTTTAAATAACGTGAAAAAAATTGGCAAAATTTAAATTCGATTACCAAAGTGGATAACTGGTCAAAATATACTAAATTAATAAAAATACTTTTTGCTAGATGTTGCTAGTGCAGAAATATTCACAGAAAGTATGCTTGTTTGTGTGTTTTAGCCACATTGGGCTATTGTCCACCGCGGGGAGATCGAACTCAAGAGTTTAGTGTTACTGCTGTCCCACAGGTGGACTTCATAGAATTAACTTACTACATCTGCTGTTAACAAATCCATAGTTAAGTAGTAAAACAATAAGTCGTAAAATTCAATATACTATTTATTGATTTCGGTTTACACATATAACATTTCACGCCTTGAATGGATACATGGATATTATATGCTACCAGTAGTTAAGTAGAGCATAAAATACTTGAAAAATTCATAAAATAGCGGAACATATGGGATTAATTAAAAACTTTTGTAATACTGGATCGTTAAGTATATTTGCGTTGTCTGGTCGATTATTTATGGTTTCTGAAATTTTATTTTGACTTTTGACTTGATTATTAAAAAATAAAAGATCTACCAGAACTATTTTTTCTTGCTTTACAGGTGCGATTATGTCTTCATTAAAGAGACAGCCTACGCGAAATTCGGTCAGGAGTTTTGTGGAACTACAAGTAACCAGTCCTCAACTATGCAGTATGAATCGAAGACAAAGCTGATTACCATCGAGGTCCTTCACAGCTTCCCGTCCACAGACAGTTTCGCTGTACAGTTCAAGGCAGTCAGTGAGTAGCAGATATTGTTAAAAACATTTGCCATATTGGAAGTAACACATTGCACAGATGTTTAAATATTAATAGATAGAGGAAATCTTTAGTAGAACGTCTCGAGACTATCACAAGTCGAGTTTTACTAAACAAGTAGCATTACCAAATAGAGAAATTACAAAACAGGAAGCTTGATAATCCTATGTGTTTCCAAAGTGTTATAAAGGCGAAAAACAAGTACCCAAGTTTTAGTTTGTGACACGGACATTCCAGGAAACGCTATGATAAAATATCAACATTAACATTTACCTACTCTTATTTCATGGCTTTTCTAGCAACTCTACCTTAGCCTTCCCGGACGTGTCTTATCTTCCAACACAACGTTACTCAACAAGCTACCTGGCGTTCTTTAGCTTCTCCTTTAACCATTTCTAAACAGAGCCTACAATATCTGTTCTGACTACTTCTGTCGTCACTCAGAAAATTCATAACAAATCACAAAGTAATGGCTATCCCCTACCACTCTACCACCATGAAAAGTTTAACAAATTGAACCTACCAAGAAGCCATACGCTGTCTCAAAATACCCACTACATCTTATTACTCCTTTCATTGGTAAAGTTTTAAACTCAAATCCCAAATTCAAAAACTAATCACAGCGCATTACCCACAAAGTAAGCTACATTTAGTAGTTATGTCAACATTTAGAATCAAAAACATGTTTAAAACAAAAGACCCCCCCCCCCCCCAGTGGCACAGCGGTATGTCTGCGGACTTACAACGCTAGAAACCTGGTTTCGATACCCCTGGTGGGCAGAACACAGATAGCCCTTGTGTAGCTTTGTGCTTAAATAAAATCAAACAAACAAAAGACACTCTACCCATCATGCGCTCGTGGGTTGTATACAAATACACTTACGGTAGCTGTAAAGTTACGTATATTGGTAAAACTGCACGTCACCTACAAATACGTGCATGCGTGCACATAGGAATGTCAGTTAGAAGCAGATATTAGCTGACCAATCCACCTGAGCTTTCTATTCAATTACACAGTGAGGATAACATACACCCTATACTTCTAGAAAACTTTAAAATTCTTGACTCCGGAACCACAGCTTACGAACTCTTTATTAAAGAAAGCCTCCCCTAAATAATAACATCAACTTCTCCCTGTTGTCATTAATGTAATCAGTTCTGAAAACAACAATATGTAAATGTGTAACAGAAATGATATCGCACTTCATATTCAACCGAACATGTTTTAAAGCTGTACACCAACCAGTGGCACAGCGGTATGTCTGCGGATTTACAACGCTAGAAATCGGGTTTCGATATTCGTGGTGGGCAGAACACAAATAGCCCTTTGTGTAACTTTGTGCATAACTACAAACAAACAAACCGTTTAGGCCAGGTAGTTAGGGTGCTTGTCTCGCAATCTGAAGGTCACGGGTTCGAATCTCTCTCCCGCCAAACATGTTTCTCTTTCAGCCGTGGAATGGCTAACGCAGATAGCCCTCGTGTATCTTTGCGCGAAATTCAAAACCAAGTCTGAAACTTTGTATGCATATAAAGGGGATTCTGAGGGTATGCACCTAGGTATTATTTTTTAGATTTGATTCAAAAATCTTTTGGCCAAATTTTTTGCTCTATAGCCCTTAAGCCTCATAATTCTGTTTCCTGAAGGTCTATATAAAAGTATCAATTTTTTTCTAATTTTCAGTTACTGAATGAACAATATGAACAATATAAGTTTTCTGCCAAGTGCTCTTTTCCAACACAAACATGGGAAGAAAAATACAAATCTGAGAATTAAAAAAAAGTTGAATTGAACTAAGTTTGGGAAACGGCAACAAACAAAGGAAAGAAAATGTGAATCAGAGAATACTGGAGAATTTGAAGAATGAAAATAATTCAAATAAAATCACAGGAAGAAAAAAACGAACCTGAGAAGCTACATTAAAACTATTTGCTTTTAAAAAGAGTTGAATTGAACTAAGTTCGGCAAACGGCAACAGACGAATCAATTAAAGAATTGGCGCATTGGGATAACTATAGAAGTAACTAAGATAATGGAGACGTTGGACTGGTACATTGAGGCCTCTGTGAATCATAAGGGGACCTTAGCATTCCGTAATAAAGCGTGGATATTTTATGCTAGTCAGTAATAATAAAAACAGATTTTGCTTCAATCACGTAATTCAAATGTCTTGCCGCCTTCTTACTTAAACTGTAATTACAAATCTTAGCGTAGTAAGGAATTTTTTTTTACTCAGAAATTATTTTTTAATTAAGGATTATTTTTGCAAAAACTAAATAAATGGATAATTACCTATCCGATTCATTATACTTTTTAAGTTTTCATTTAGAAATTTAAAAAATGTTTGCAAAATAAATATAAAAGTTTGATATGTTTTTTTACCAAACCTTCATCTATGTAAACCCGCATGTAATCCTCATAATCTTGGAATCTACTGTAATAGAGAAATTTATTCTTTAAGTATCTTGAATATAGCTGTTATACCAAAACCTGTATCGTATTGTCGAAAAAACAAACAACAAAAACTTCATCCATGAGTACATGCAAAACTTTCTTTTTTTTATAAAGATGGTGACGATTCTACAGAGAGTTGCTCATATCCTATAAATTATCATATTACAAACGTAAAACGTTCAAGAGTGGTGTACCAAGAAAAATCACGCTTAAAATATTTTATTAAGTAAGCTACAATAACAGGTAATTCTTTGTAATATCTTCTGAGCCTGCGGCGGTTAAATGTATTTATTATTCTACTTATAATTTTCCTCCTAATAGAAAACGTGTACGTTTTGAAAGGCCATCACGACTTTTACCAGTCGAATACCACAGGGTTTTTTGAGTCTCCACACTTCCCTGTTGACTATCCCAGGGATTACAGTGCCGAGTACATTATTAGGAACATCGAGAATAAAGGATATATACAGTTGATATTCACTGACTTCCAGCTGTCTTACTGGTCCTACATTGAGGTGAGTGTGTGTCCCGAGTATAAGTAAAGTATGAAGTTGATGTACATTATTGTGTCCCGAGTATAAGTAAAGTTTGAAGTTGATATACATTATTGTGTCCTGAGTATAAGAAAAGGATGAAGTTGATATACATTATTGTGTCCCGAGTATAAGTAAAGGTTGAAGTTGATATACATTATTGTGTCCCGAGTATAAGTAAAGGTTGAAGTTGATATACATTATTGTGTCCCGAGTATAAGTA